CAATTTCCCCCCTTTCATTTATCCCTTCCTTCTCCTAATGTCCTCCATGCTATTCCTTATGTTCCACAAATAAGTGCAACCATATGATAATTGACTTTCTCTGCTTGACTTATTTCACTGAGCATAATCTCCTCCAGTCCCATCCATGTTGATGTAAAAGTTGGGTACTCATCCTTTCTGATGGCTGAGCACTACTGGGTATTTACCCCAAAGACACAGATGTAGTGAAAAGAAGGGCCATCTGCATCCCAGCGTTCATAGCAGCAATGTCCGCAATAGCCAAACTGTGGAAAGAGCCGAGATGCCCTTCAACAGATGAATGGGTAAAGAAGATGTGGTCCATATATATACAATGGAATATTTTCCTGTATTTATAACATGACCTATACTTTAGCACTTGGTGTTATATTTCCTGAGGTTGTTGATTCATGGTACATTAGCACTAGGAATGTGTGCTACAGAAACACCTTAGTTATTTTAATACATGTTTTATTACTCTTCCCTAGAAAAATGTCTTGTTCAGATTTTTCTATTATTTCTTGTTCTTGGGGTTCAAGTTCCTCCATTTCGTGAGCCTGCCTACTGACTGACCTTCATTGTGGTTCATTTTCCCTTGGAGTCTGTTTTTACTGTGATGTATCTTTAGTAAGGGTTTAGTCTGTCCTGTGTCGTGTGTCATGGAAGTATCCCTGCAAAGAGGTTTCACATCTGCCCCTAACAGGTTCTAAAGTTTACCAGTTCAGAGCTACTTTATCTTTTTAAATTTTTTTGGCTTGGGGATGGTGTAGAGATTCTAACTCATGAAAGTAGTGTGAATTTAGGCCCTTGCTGTATGCATAATGTACACCTAATAGGGTTCTGATTTCCCTCGGCGACTTTTCCCCATTACCCAAATTGAGGTCATATCTCCTTAGGCTTCCTAGCCAGTGAGTTTTCATATTTCTGATTTTAACAGATAGGATGATCTTTCCTTATTTTTGGCTTTATGAAGATCTTTCCACATATGACCTGGCTTGAAATAACCTCTCTGTATGGGTATTAGAAAGTCCCCTTATAACGATTAAGGCCTGTACCTGGTTCCAGCAGTTGTATTAGCTTCAGCTCCTGCTCTCTTTTGTCTGTTTCCCACAACTGTGGATTTTCCTCGCTTGTTTCAAGCTCAGTTCTTTATTTACTGTTTTACTGGTTATATTTTGTCAAGCCTTTCAGTGTGTTTGAATCTGGCTGGGATTAAGAGGCACAAGAATACCGTTATATAATCTTAAATTATTTTGGACTTTTGTAGTATTTTTCGTTTGTTCATCACCTTTCTGTCAACATGTCAAATATTTTGTGCCTACCATGTACTGAGTACTTTGAGAAATGAAGATCTTTGGCTAGATCCTGCCTTCAAGAAACGGTCTGATTAAAAAATGGGCAGAGGACATGAATAGACATTTTTCTGAAGAAGACATACAGATGGCCAATAGACACATGAAAAGATGCTCAACATCACTAATCATCAGGGAAATGCAAATCAAAACCACAATGAGATATCACCTGACACCTGTCAGAATGGCTAAAATCAAAAAGACAAGAAATAACAAGTGTTGGTGAGGATGTGGAGAAAAAGAAACCCTTGTGCACTGGTGGTGGGAATCTAATTGGTGCAGCCACTGTGAAAAGCAGTATGGAGGTTCCTCAAAAAATTAAAAATAAAAATACCATATGATCCAGTAATTCCACTACTGGGTATTTACCCAGGAAAACAGAAACACTAACACAAAAAGATATGCTCCCCTATGTTCTTTGCAGCATTATTTACAGTAACCAAGATATGGAAGCAACCTAAATGTATAGATGAATAGATAAAGAAGATGTAAACACACACACACACACACACACACACACACACAGAGAGAGAGAGAGGAATATTATATGGCCATAAAAAAGGATGAGATCTTGCTATGTGTGGCAACAACATGGATGGACCATAGCCATTATGCTAATTGAAATTAGAGAAAGACAAATACCTTATGATTTCACTATATGTGGAATCTAAAAAACAAAACAAATGAATAAACAAAAAGAATCAAACCTATAAATACAGAGAACACTGAGAGTTGCCAGAGGAAAGGGGGGTGGGGAGTAGGCAAAAAGGGTGAGGAGGGAGAAATACAGGCCTCTAGTTATATAATGAATAAGTCGTGGGAATAAAAGGTACAGCACAGGGAATACAGTCAATGATACTGTAATAGTGTTGTATGGTGACAGATGGTCACTACACTTGTGGTGAGCACAGCATAATGTGTAGAGATGTTAAATCACTATGTTGTACACCCGAACCTAATGTAAAATTGAGTGTCAACTGTATTTAGAAATTTTTTTAAAAAATAAAACGAGATAGGGCGCCTGGGTGGCTCAGTTGGTTAAGCGACTGCCTTTGGCTCAGGTCATGATCCCGGCGGAGTCCTGGGATTGAGTCCCACATCGGGCTCCCGGCTCAGTGGGGAGCCTGGTTCTCCCTCTGACCCTATCCCCTCTCATGCTGTTTCTCTCTCTCTCAAATAAATAAATAAGTAAAATCTTTAAAAAAATAAATAAATAAAACGAGATAAAAAATACCGTGTGGTCCCCATAATATATGTCTACCCACATACTTGGACCCATAGCTATAGGTTTGTGTTGTTTATATAGAAAGGGGTCATTATTACATTTTTACATTCTGTATTGAAATTTTAAAATTATATTATTTAGAATTGTCCACAAAATTCAGAAATACGTGACCTGTTCAGTTTGAAAGTTGTACTTAATAGGTAGCTATTTATGTTTGTCTGTTTACCTAAAAGATGATCTATAATCTTTTTGAGATATTTGACTTCCTAAGTTGGAAATAAAAAGATCTTCTAAAACTGTTGTCTTATAGGTAAAAGAATGTGACATTTCAACATTTGAACCTGAAATCAGCATGCAGTTTTCAGGCCACATGGATGAATGCCAACTTTTGCATTTCCTGTGTGTATCCTGTGACCATTCTCTCTGGGGTGAGTGATTTCTAAGAGTATCTGGCAGCAAACCAGATGCCAGCCAGCCATGGCCTGCCCTAACAAATACTGCTAAGAGTTATAAATTAAACACTGTCTGGTGATCTGTGATGTATAAGGCAGTTAATTTAGTTCGTCTGGATTAACTGTCAGCTCCAGAAAACTATATTCCCATAACGTGAAATCTGTACTTAGCATGTTTGGAGGTGAGTAATAATTAACAATAGGGAATCATTTGTTAAAATGTGAAATTATAAAATGCCTTAAAGTTCTTTTGGATTTAAAGCAGTGTTTTAGTGGTTTGCTAGATATTTTAAATAATTTTCATTTTAGAAGTTCAAGGACTTTAGTATTTTTTGAAAGATAGTTATAATTTTGTATAAAATAGGGTTTTTTGGATCATATACTTTCCATTGCCTTATAATATCAGTTTTGCTTCCCATATAGCATAAAATTGTATATATTATCAATATATAGGTTTCTTAAAAATTCATTCGATAAATTATACCAGAGATTTACATTTACAGTGAATTTTGCTTTTTCAGTTTCATTCTGGGAAATTACATTGGGGGAAAAGCCTAATTATTACCTTATCCATGCATTTTTCTGTTTATCTGAATTATTTTTACTTTACTAAGCCATTCATTTTTTTTAGAACATCCTTCAAAGAGTTCATGCGTCTTACTGAGGACACCTGACCTTTTGAAGCTTCATAATTCACACCTAGATGTCACCAGTCTTTCCCATGTTAACAGTTCTGACCATGTTTTATTATATATGCCTTCGGCGCCGAGCCAGGACAGCTACAAGAGGAGAAATGATGAACAGCCGTAGAACTATAGAATCAAACAGCCGGACTTCCCCTCTCAACGCAGAGGTGGTCCAGTATGCCAAAGAAGTAGTGGATTTCAGTTCCCATTATGGAAGTGAAAATAGTATGTCCTATACCATGTGGAATTTGGCAGGTGTACCAAATGTATTTCCAAGTTCTGGTGACTTCACTCAGACAGCTGTATTTCGAACTTATGGAACATGGTGGGATCAGTGTCCTAGCGCTTCCTTGCCATTCAAGAGGACACCGCCTAATTTTCAAAGCCAAGACTACGTGGAACTTACTTTTGAACAACAGGTGTATCCAACAGCCGTTCATGTTCTGGAAACCTATCATCCTGGAGCAGTCATTAGAATTCTGGCTTGTTCTGCAAATCCCTATTCACCAATTCCACCAGCTGAAGTAAGGTAAGACTCATTTTTTAATGACCAAATTATATGGCTGAAAGGTTATGTTTGTTTTAATATTGGATGTCTTTTCTTATTCTAAGTAATTTGAACAAATTGGATTTTTAAAATTTTCTTTAGTTTTCTGATAGGGAAAGAAAAATCACATATTTAAAGCTGTAATACATTCTTTATACATGTAACACTTACACCGTAATATTCATAGATCATGAGATTTATGCATCACAAGTTACTATAAACAAAAAGGGTGATATCAGTTAATTGGGATGTGGGCCAATCTGAGAAGTTAGTAGGAAATATGACCTGTAACATATTTTCAAACAAGCATCATGTTACTGCTTTAACACACAGTGAGTAACTCAAAGTAGATCTATAGTGATACTTTAGGAGGGGTACTTAGGGAATTAGCTTTAATGTTAGGGGAATGTCTTTGTAACAAGCATATTCTTTTAAAAACAAATGTTGCTTTGAGAAATTCGTGCATTCTTTCTAAAAGCCTGTTTACTTACATCAATTTGCATAGCAGTGTCTCTGTCTCTCTCTCTTTTTGTAGTTCAGCCTCCTGTTTTTTAAAAAATATAATTATTGACCTGGTAATGTATTCACATAGTTCAATAATCTAAAAAGTACATAATGCAGTCTTGCATGTACTCTGTTCTCCACGTGCCTAAGACCCACCCATCTTCAAAGAAATCACTTTTATCCACTTATTTATTTCTTTTCAGTTTCTTTATGCAGATATAAACAAATACAAATACATTTTTATTTTCTTTATACACAAAAAATAAGCATACTATTCACATTGCCCTATACCTTGTTTCATTTAGTAGTATATACTGTTATCTTTTCATATAAGTGCAAAGAGAGGTTCCTCATTCTTTTCTGTGGTTGTAAGTAATGCACAGTGTATATGTATTCCAACTTACTGACCAATCACCTTTTGATGGGTACTTAGTTTTTCCATGCTTTTGCTATTATGAACATTAATGCAATGAATAACCTTGTCATAAATCATTTTACATATGTGCAAGTATGTCTGTGGGTTAAGATCCCAAAAGAATTGCCAGGCCAAGGGGTCTATGCATTTGCAGTTTTGATAGATAGTGCCAAATTTCTCTTCAAAGAGGCTCTGCTTATTTATATTCCTGCTAGCATTGTATATGCATACATGTTTTGTCCAAGCCTCATGTGAGCTACAGAGTGTGTTAATAAATTTTAATATTTTTGTCATTTTGGTAGGTGAAAATGTTATCTCATGTAAACCTTAAGTTAAAATACTTTTATTGTCTCTGAGGTTGTATATGCTTTCATGTTTAAGAGCCATTTATGTTTCCTTCTCCTTGAACTATCTAATATTATTTTCTCATTTTTCTATTACTTGTTGATATCGGTGATCTATCACTTTGCTAATTCATTCATTAAATATATGTGTGTCTTCCATGTGCTAAGCATTGATTTGGATACCAGGGATACAGCAGTGAACAATGAAGCAAGTAGACAAAAAGCCCTGCCCTTTTGAGCTTATTCGAACCCCAGAGCAGTTTTTGGGCACCTATTAAACTGTCAGTCCCCAGCTGCCACTGGAGGAGGAGTGGGGACAAGGATCACTTAACCACCTGACACACTGCTTCCTTGAGGGCCCTTGTACCCTCAAAACACCTCCCCAGTGTCAGGAAACAAATGCAGAGTACAGCTCAGCTCAAGCTGGAGCCTGCTGGGATGATCTTTGTTTGTTCTTTTCAGAATGACCTTGATAATTCATCGTGAATAATATTATTAATGAATCTATTTTTTATAAAACAGAGAACCAGCATCCTTTAATATACAGATTTGTTTTGTTTAATTTTTTTCTGAGAGAAAAAGTACCTTGGGCAGGATCCTTTCTTTATGTGAGAATTGTTTTTATTGGATTCTGTCATTCTTTGTCTCTTTCCTACAAAGTTATGTACTTTTTCCCTAAAAAGCTAGATAAATTTGGGAATGAGATCTATGAAACATGTAATATCTTTAATCTAAACCATAATGTGTGCATAACTGATTTTGAATATAAATCATGCTCTTGGGTTCCTAGCTGAGAGTTGTAGTATATGGTTGTGATTAAAGTGGCAACTTTATTTACAAATGTATCTCTAATTTGCTTAACTGACTTTTAGCTTTATTCCACAGAAAATACCATTAAATTTTAAGAGAAAAAGGATCCAACCAATATATATTATTGCAGGATATAAAAGGACCTTTTAAATTTTACTGATTATGAAATCAGTAGATGTTTCATTGTTTAAAAAAACTTGTTATATCAAGAAAGAAAATACACAGGAAAAAAAAAACCCTCACAACTCTCCCCAGATTCAGTAACTGTTAACATTTTGGTGAATTTCTTTAAACAGTCGGAAACATTAAACACCCTCTCTGCCAGTTCACTGCTGGGAACAAAACAAAGAACCAGACGAACATGGCTCTTGTTCTTTGAGTGTTTTATAGGCCAGCCTGGAAGAAGAACGTGAGATCATAGGGAACGTGTAGTGGTGGAGGGCAAACCTAGTCTTTGGGGCTCAGAGAGGTCTTCCCTGAGGAAGTGACTTCACTGAGACCCAAAAGTTGAGTGAAGCTTTAGTTTGGATGGGGAAGGTGGAGAGAGAACAGCACATTGCAAAGATGAAGTCATGAGGTGAGGTCTTGGTGTTTAAAGAAGTGAAAAAGTGTGGAGAACAAGCTAGCGAAGGGCCACAGGCGTGGAAGTGCCATTGTCAAGATCTAGACTAGTGGATTCCAGACTTTGGGAATCACAGGCTCTTGGATCCAGTGTCCCAGAAGCAGACCTTGAGAAGACTGTTACGCAGATGATTCGCAATGGAAGGGCTCCTGGAGGAAGCACTAAGAGAGTGGAGAGAGCACTGTGGGGAAGGGAAGAAGTCAGGCAAGGATGCACTTTCCTAAGAAGTCGCAGTCAGCCTGGAGGAAAAGTTGTCAGGGAGCCGGGCTCTTATGCTCCTGCACCCGTCTGTCTTGGACTGTGGGTGAGGGGAGTGGGAAGGGGAATGGAAATCTTCCAGGCACATGCTACCCTCTGGATGAAGAGGCTCTAGGAGCCCAAGCAGTTCTCTGAAGAAGGTTGCAGGGGGAAGCCCTTAGCAGCAAAGCTGGGAGGTGTGGAGAGTGGGCCCACAGAACTGCCCAGGAGGTCTAAGTGGAGTACAGGTAGGGAACGTTGGCTGTCATAAACTAGGAAAGATAATAATAATGATAATAAACATTAGAGAACTGATACAGGTTGTCACATTATTTACTTTGCTAAATGAGTACACCTAAAAAGACAAACCCATGAAATACTAACATCATTTATCATCACCATCACTTTATACAAGAAACTTCAGTTTATACTGGGAAATTGGCATGATCAGAATCTTAAAGAATGGCTGGTGATTTTACATGTGTATGTGTGCATATTTTTATACATACCAATACATTCCTTATTTTTCACATTTAGTCATGGAAATCTCCATCACACGCTGTTGTTTGGGAACCCCTGGACTGTACTGCCTATTATTTTAATTGAGCACGTGGTTTTATGCCCACCTTAAGAGTTAGCAAGCAAGAGAGTGTGTTGGAGTGGCTCAGGAATTTGTTTGCAGGAAATGGACTTGTAGTCCCAGAACATTCAAAATTTAAAAGCAATCTTTCCCCTTTTTTTCTGGTTGCATTTTTTTTGTTCAGTAAGTGAAGTAGACAAGTTACAGGTAGTTCTATAAGATCTCAGAGTCTTCTTACTTCTTGCTTAGTGCCCGATTCAGAGAAAATAAAACAGGTAGTATCCAGTGTCCCAGTCCTGAGGATAAGATGTTAATGGAGGCTTGTGTAAGAGTCAGAAGATAGGCTAGCACAGGGTTACACATTGGAAAAAAGAGACAGGAAAAGAGGAGAAAGAAAATGACAAATTGAGGTCATATTAAAGAAACTGATTGGAATAAAGTTATTTGGGGATCAAATTTAGTGGATTTTTCTGAGCATTAAAAACACTTAATTAGGGACGCCTGGGTGGCTTAGTCGTTAAGCATCTGCCTTCTGCTCAGGTCATGATCCCAGGGTCCTGGGATTGAGCCCCTCATTGGGCTCCCTGCTCAGGTGGAAGCCTGCTTCTCCCTCTCCCCACTCCCCCTGCTTGTGTTCCCTCTGTTCCCTCTCTCTCTCTCACTCTCTGTCAAATAAATAAATAAATAAATAGTCCTTAAAAAAATAAAGTGAAAACACTTATATAATACTGAAGTTAAGAAAGGGAGAAAGACAGTGGCTGTCACAGAGAGAATTTGCTGCCAAAGGAAGTTGCTTAAGCAACAGTTTCACAAATTGGTCATTGTCTGGTCCTGACTTTGTAGGCCAAGAAGCATGATTTTGTTAAAGCACATGCTAGTTAGTTCCAATTAGAGATGGGCTGGGAGGCAGGGAGTGAGTAGGTGTACTATCTAAATAGCTTTCTTTTATTCTTGTTGGTGTTCCTCTTCTATCCCTTTACTTTCAGCTGATGGAATGGAACAGTGTTGGCAAGAGAACTTTCTTTGTGCTGGCTACTAGATATGCTTACTAACCAGGAGGAATTTTGGTTACAGGGAAGCTTTTTGCATCCATGTGCCAGGGTCCAACCTAAATATGCTGGAAAACTTGTTTCTCTGGTTTCCATTGGTGAACATCTCTCTTTCTCTGTTTCCCAGTTGCTTCTGGGGTGCCCTAGAGAGACTTTCTCAATGGAGAAGCAACAGATCAACATCACAGAGAGGGATTTGTTTCTAAGAACTGGACACATAGTAGGCATTCAGTACAATAGAAAGGGAAATAAGTGGGCTGATGAAGAGAATGCTGTTGGTTACCATTCCAGAATTAAGTGCTCTAAGCACAGCCAGAATGGAATTCCAAGCTGATTTTTCATATGTGATACTGTAGATTAAAATACTTACATAGGACATTGGAGTTGGTCAGATTTGTCCCATACATATATACAGTGTGTGAGCACATATAGTAAACAGATAAATGTACAGACCACAGAGGGCATGACTTAAAGCAGTTTACTCTCCTTAACACTGCCCTGGGTCAAGAGGATTAAAAGAGTTGGAGCTGTCTCACAGAAAGGAGTGTGTGTGTGTATGTGTGTGTGTGTATGTGTGTGCGCATGTACATTTGTTTGTATTTGCTTGCTTGTTTTCACTGACTAGGTTTTAAGATTCTGGCTTTAGTTTTCCAGAATAAAATAATATTGGCATGTTCTCTTGTTGGATAAAATAGATACCTTTCTCTTTCTAACTTGGAAATAATATATTCTAGTTCTATTAGGAAATTGTAAATAAAAATTCACTTTAATGCAGATCCCTCAGGATCAATTTGTATTGGTCTTATAGTTAATGTTAGTTTAATTCAGATGGCCACAGACCTAGAAAATAATTTTTCTCTTTTTATAATTTTTGTTACTTTTTAGGTTATCAAGAAAAAGTAAAATATGACTAATTTAGATACATGAAAGTTTTTTATATTTAGACATTTTAAAATATTTCTAAAAACTGATGATATTGGGGCGCCTGGGTGGCTCAGTCGTTAAGCGTCTGCCTTCGGCTCAGGTCATGATCCCAGGGTCCTGGGATCGAGTCCCACATCGGGCTCCCTGCTCTGCGGGAAGCCTGCTTCTCCCTCTCCCACTCCCCCTGCTTGTGTTCCTGCTCTCGCTATGTCTCTCTCTGTCAAATAAATAAATAAAATCTTTAAAAAAAAAAAAAACTGATGATATTGATGTTTTTCTTTAAGTATGCCATCATATTTACAACTTAAGATATATGTGTAAGTAAATATATAATATTCATGCTACATAGAAGAAGCAAAAATGTTGCTAAAATAGCGTTACTCCTGATATGTTTAAATATACAACAAAGGTTAAGGAAGTCAATTTAAAGCATCGTCTAACTTTGTCCATTCTGCAAGGTAAGTAGGGAGGACTTTAGTGGATTAATACCTTATTAAAATAGAATATTTCTGCTCTAGTCAGAGCTTTTCTTTAAGCTTATGTTTGTAAATTTATAATGTAATTTGCATTATAATGCAGTTCAAACTGTACATGAAGAACATGTGTTAGTTGTGTATTTATTTATTGCAAAGGACCTGGCAGAGGTGATTTCTATATCACATTTTCAGAGTTTCTGTTAAGTCTCATAACTCCTCACTGAAGCTAAATCATAGAATAGATAGGGTTAGACCATATGTGTTGTGACCCAGTACACGCAGTTATTTCACAGGGTCCTGTGCAGTCCCTGTTTCCTAGACACGAGAGGTTCCTCTAACATCGTCTGATGTCATTTTACTGTGGCGACAAACAGTAAGAGTTTACTATTTATAAACAGTAAAAGCATTTGCCTCATGATTCTTGGAAATACACTGTCCAAAATTAGGAATGCATTTTCCCACCAACATGGTTTTAAATGACTCATACTTCAGTTCCTTGTACCTATATGGCTAGCTCTGTTTAACTGTGTAGGTTTACATTAGAGTGTTCAAATCAATTCTGTTGTTAGGAACCCTCAAGATTTTTGCAGTTAAGCTCTAGGGGTACTTAGGTCTGGCCTGGCACTCCAGGTGGGCTTTCCTGCCTTGTTACAGGAAGAGCAAGACGCCCAGCCTGCTTTCCTTCACTCTTTGAACCTGCCACAACTTGCTGTACTCCTTAGAACTTTTCCCTAGTCTCCCAAGGTTGGTTAGATAGTGGGACTGATCTCTCCATTCTGACTTCCGTGTTGTCTCCAGTTATAATACTCATAGGCTCTTTATGTTTGATGGGGTTTATTCCGAATTTTCGGGAGAGAATCAGCAAAAGTAGCAAATATGAGGTGATTATAAAGGGTCTAGTAACTGCAAAAGTTCCTATTATAATGGTTAGTGATATGTTCACTATAATCCTCATGAGCTTCTGCCTTACGCTTCCAAGTTGGTGCTCTGTGCCCTTCTTGCTGCCATCTTGGCCTCAAGGCCTGCTAGGGTGCCTGCATGTTGATGACTTCTATAGTTTTGCCTCACTCTTTTGTCTATCTCAGTTTCCTAAATGCCTTGCTGTAATCAGTTTTTACTTAAATCTTAATAGGTCACTGGGCCAAGGAAATGAACTGACAATATATTAGAAAAAACCTCATACGATTCATAAGTTTATGAAAACATTTTAAGTGTGATTAGTAATCAGTGAATTATAAATTATGTTCTGTGGAGATATGGCTTACCATGAAATTACAGATTATTTTTAAAAATAAATAAAACTTTAGTCATTCTTTTTTTTAAAAAGATTTATGAATTTGTTATTTTAGAGAGAGAGCGTGCGTGCCTGCTGTGGGGGGTGCGGGAGGGGCAGAGGGAGAGAGAATATCTCAAGCAGACTCCATGCTGAGGGTGAAGCTGGACACAGGGCTCAATCTCATGACCCTGAGATCATGACCTGAGCTGAAATCAAGAGTCGTAGGCTTAACCAACTACACCACCCAGGCAGGTGCCTCTCAGTAGTCATTCTTATATGCTGTTGGCATAAGCTTCTTTGAAAGCAGTTTGTAGTATGTATTGAGAGACTTAAAAATACTTAGTTTTTGACATAAAATCTGTATTAAAAAAATTCTAACTAAAGTAATTAGAAATGGAAAGATGTTTATTGAAGTATTTTTTGTGCTTCTAATTTTCTCTGATATATTTGGAAACAATATTAGAAATGGTTACTTATAACACATATGTGAGAATATTATGTATCTAATGATGCTATGTTATGGAGAATCTTTAAATAATTTTGGAAAATAGTTTTATAAGGAGACTTCCATGAAGAGATGGCAGGTGAGTTGGACCTTGAAGAACAGATGGGCATATAATTGCAGGTTGGACATTTCGTTGTGGGGAGACAACGTGAGCAAAGACACAAAGGTGGAAATGAGTTTATTATCTGGAAGGTAATGATTAATCTGGCTGGAAAGGGGGGGTTCATTTTGGAGGAGTAGGAGAAAATGTTATTTACCCGGTATGTGTTAGATACTTGCTAGATTTGGAACATACACAGATGACTAAAAGAGGAGAATAATGGGAATTCCCAGAGGAAGAGCATATAAAAGCGACAATTTCATGAAAAATTTGATAAAACTTAATGGCCAGATAAAAGAAAATCAGAGATAACGAAAGTTTTGAGTTTGTATGATGCTAGTGACAGAAATGGAAAAGTTGGAAAAGGAGACCCTGGTGTGACAAGATGCTCAGTGTAGTTCCCACAGTTGGTTTAGGACATGCACACAGCAGAGCTTTATTCATCCTGTACGCCTTATTCTGACTTTGGGTTTCCTTTTTCTGTAGAACCGAATGGTGTTCCTCATGTAGGTCTAGCTATGCCAGTTTCTAACTGACCAATGTGAAATGTGCCAGAAAGCACTTTTTAGGAAATTATAAAAATAATTTAAGTAGTACAAATATTTCAAGGTCTATGACATTTAGTTTATTTATTTATTTATTTATTTATTTATGTACTGGAAATAATACTTGTGTTTGATTCTGTTCACCTTATTTAATACCTTTGTGCATCACGCTGTAACATGTTGGGCATGCGGCCATAACCTGAAGGTAACAGTAAATCTCATTCTAAAGTGTATTATAGGTAAATCTCTTTCTTTGGCAGATGGGAGATTCTTTGGTCAGAGAGACCGGCGAAGGTGAATGCTTCCCAGGCTCGCCAATTTAAACCTTGTATTAAGCAGATAAATTTTCCCACAAACCTCATACGGCTGGAAGTAAATAGTTCTCTTCTGGAATATTACACTGAATTAGATGCAGTCGTGTTACATGGTACGAAGGACAAGCCAGTGCTTTCTCTCAAGACTTCACTTATTGACATGAATGATCTAGAAGATGATGACTATGAAGAAAAGGATGGTTGTGGAATGGACAGTCTTAACAAAAAGTTTAGTAGTACTGCCCTCAGGGAAGGGCCAAATAATGGATATTTTGATAAACTGCCTTATGAGGTAAGACAAAGATAATCAGTAGCAGTATTGGACATAACACTATAATTTTTAAATGTTTAGGTATTAATGTTTATTTTGCTAGGTATTGGAAAAATAGAAGCATTGGTAAAGTGTACATAAGTTCATGTATTATGTGTAGTTAACCTTTGAACAGCATGGGTTTGAACTGTGTGGGTCCACTTACACATAGATTTTTTTTTTTTTTTTACAGTGTAATACTGTAAATGCATTTTCCTTAGGATTTTCTTAACATTTTTTCTTCTCTAGCTTATGTCATTGAAAGAATATAGTACATAGTACATATAATATACAAAATGTGATACTCGACTGTTTATGTTAGCTGTAAGGCTTAAGTCAACAGTAGGCTCTTAATAGTTGACTTTTTGGGGAGTCAGAAGTTATACATGGATTTTCAACTGTGGAGGGGGATGACGCCCTTAACCCTTGCTGTTGTTCAAGGGTTGACTGTATTTCGATTCTGAAAAAACAAGACAAAATTATGTTAAGTAATCTTACCACTTTTGTCTTGCATTAGAGTATTAGTAAGACTGTGAGAGGGATGCTTATCTACTTGATAAGCCCATAGTTTCTCCAAGTGTCCTTTATGCTTCTCTACTAACTCTCTTTTATATAATGTTGACTAGTTATAATTTTTGGTCTAGGCAGGTGGAGGGTGTCTTTGCCTAAAGCTTTGTTTTTAGTGTGTCTCTCCAGGGGCATTTCTGCAGTGTAGCAGCTTAGCATCCCTGACTCCCAGGCATCAGGTGCCAAAAGCACACCACCAGGCATTTTTGCCCCTTGCTGACCACTGCTATGTGTGGTTAAAAATAATATAACCAAATCTTTTCAAGAAAATTTATAAACAAATTTCAGCCAATTTAGACTCTCCCCTTCCAACTTGGTAGGTATTTCAGGTTTCATTGTAATAACACAAGTAACTTAACTTGCAGAGAACAGTAAGATGGCCTCTTGAAGGCCTAACGGTCACCACAATGCCCGTACAACATTTTGCAATTAAAATGCTGTCATACATCCTGTGAAGTAGCTCAAGTTGGCACATAAAGATGAAGTTAAGGATCCAACGTAATTTAGTCAGTAAGCCATGGGACCAGGGTCCCACCCAGGCCATCTAGGGCAGGTCTTGTGTTACAGAAAGAAAACTTCACAGATTGGATGAGACCTTCTGGCTCTTGGTTGGGAGGACTGAGGAAAGTCAAAGGAAGAGTTGAGTTGGGGAAAGAGGAGGATATGATCCTGACAGGGTTGTTCCCCAGGCTTCAAGGAGTATCTGTCCTCTCGACAGTGGGAGCAGTTCATCAGGAGGAAACAAAATCACTTCTTTGATTCTTACCCATTTCCTAAAACTACAAAATAGAGATTTAAATTCAGCAAATATATTTTGAACAGTTTTTGAATTTTATCCAGACCTGAGAAAAGGCTGACACAGAGCATTCAGATGACTAACTGAGGGGAACTTCAGGCAGAAGGAAGAGAATGTACAGAGGTGAGAGGAAGTGAAACCCTGTGACCTGTTTGGGAACTCTGGTCTTTCAGGGTGACTGGGAGAGGATTGGATAGCAGAGGCTGTAAGAGATGAAGCTGGATGGAGGCTCAGAACAGCCTCGGTGCCTAACTCTACAGCACCCCGTTCGTGGAGATGACAGTGATTGGGACATCATGGCATTGGCAATGCACAGCCTGCATCCGAGAGGGCTTGTGGGTTTACTGAGAGATTTGCGTTTTATCCCTTCAGCCTGTGTTCCTCAGGGTGCTGTATTTCTTCAGTACCCAGCAAAATTAATCGGGGCGAAGTCCTAGATACTTGAGACTTTATATAAATACCTTGTGGTAAAAAATTAGAGATGATATACCTATAATAGTTTCACACTCACTTTCTTGTATTCTCTTGTATTCTTCATAATGCTTTTTTGAGTGGGAGAGAAAGGTGTGGAATACCTAACATGCCAGGAACGTCCCATAATATGCAGGCATTTTTGCACATGCGTTGTCCCACAATTAGAATAATTGCTCAGGTTTTTGGCCTTCATGTAAATTTTGTCTTTCATATGTGTCATGGTATTAAAAAGACCATGGACCTTTTCTGTAGTCAGTGGGGAAACACTGAAGGTTTTATTTAATTTATTTAAAAAATGAGAATAAGAAAATGAGATTTCTGTCTTAGATTACTCTGCTGGCAAATGAAGAGTAGACCAAGAGGAGGTCAGGGTGGGAGTCAGGGACACCAGTTAGGAAATTACTGCTGTAATTGAGGCAAGAAATGATGAAGCCTGGATACTGGAAGATTTGGAAAGGAGATGAGTAAGAGAAATATTCTCAGAGCTCAGAGGGTAGAAATTGAAAGTAGTAAGTAAATGTTCATCTCTAGATGAAGCAGACCATCAGAGAGACTTTCAGGTTTCTGGTCGAAATGACTAGGTGGATGGACATGCCATTAATCATAAGACAGTGGGTGAAGGTAGGAAGGACATACTGCCTTTGAGGTGCCTGTGATTCACCAAAGCATCTCAACTGGTTGAGGACAGTAGGCAGTTAGTATTTCAGTTTGAAATGCAGGAGGAAGGTCTGAGTTTATATTTGAGTGAGTCTGCTTGAAAGAGGCAAGGGGCACCATGGTAGATAAAATTAACTGGGGAGAGTCTGTCGAGTATGAATCAAGGGCCAAGAGCAGAATTCTGGGAATACTAACATCTGGGAGTCCCATAGAGGAAGACCCATCAGAAAAGGCACTCGAGATGAAGATAAGAGTCTTAAAAGCAAAGCAATAGGCATAGAAAACATAAAAAAGGACATAGCCACACTGCTGCAGAGAGCTAAATTACAAGTACCCACAGGTTTCGGTTGCTGGGAGATCTTTGATAATCCTTTACATTTATCAGTTTAGTGGAGCCATGAACATAGGTGAAGAATGAGAAAACCTTGCCATATTTGGTTAAGGCATGAAGGAGGGTGAGAGAAGCAGAGACAAAAACTGTTTACTTTGAGTGTAAGCAGAAAAATATTTCTGTGAATGTATTCTTTTTATGGGCTGTAACATGGAGAAGACTGTCCACCGATAATGAATACTACTTTGTCATCTTGCGTAACATTTCGCCCCTTTGTGTGGCACTCAAAAAAGGCATATCAAAATGGGGAAGAGTATGAATTATAGGAATTATCTGTTCTAACTTCTAAAAGGAGAAAAGACAAGTGAATGGTGGAGGGAGCAGCAGAGTAGGAAGATTTCTATCTGTGATGCAGGCTGGGAGAGATTTCAGCATGTTTCTATGCTGAAGGAAAGCAGAGAGAGAAGGCTTCCAGTATGGGTAAGGGGTTTGATCACTACCACAGAGGCATGGGGAAAAAACCGGGAGACAGAATCTGTAGTCTGAGGACATTACCTAGCCCTGATGAAAGCCGAGCACCATGCAGAGAGAGAGAACACTGAATGATCTCTCAGTGACTAAAAAAGAGAAACTTAAAAAAAAAAAAGTTACCCAAATTATCTTAAGATAATCCAAATTATTTAAAGTGGAAAAAAAAAAACCCATATATAAATGTGTCAAATGACAGTGTTTTCATAGTTGAAGATAATTGTATTATGAGTAGAGTGGGTTTTGAGGGCAGATAGATCAATTCTGTTTGGGGAGTCCTCCCCACCATCACATCCTACATTCGCTGTAGTATCAAATGGTACTTCATGCTAGGATACCCCCATATAAAAACACGTTGTAATAGATACTAAATATGTAATGATTAATGGGTATTGTCTTGTAGGCCTGAAACGTGTCATCTCTTATTTAATCAAAATCCAAAAGTGCTTTTTCACATGTCAATGTCATGGTCTCTGACTTTTTGCTATTCTTTTTCTATTTTGATATTTGCTTAAAATGTAATATTAAGTATCATAGAATGTTTTCACACAAAATACACATCTTTTAACACTGGTGTCTTTTGTTTGGAACGATGCCAGAAATTGCCGGGTGTTATTTAAATTACAAATCATCTGGAAAAAGTGAATTATTGATCCTCTGATACAGGGATATATTTAATTTTTAATGCCTTCTTGCACTAACTGCTTAAAAATTCTCCTGATATGACTTTTAATATTGTAGTTAAAACAACAGATTTTTAATTCATTCTACAAATATTTAAGATCCTACTGTTGCCAAGCCCAGATGGCTCTCATAAGTTCTTTCAAACGTTTAAGAAACAGATAAATCCTATATTATTTAAACTCTTCCATGGCGTAAAGAAAAAGGAAAGCTTTTGATGTTTTTATGAAGCCACGGTAACATTGTAGCACATAAAAAGACTACAGACCAATTTTACTTCTGCAAACAAATACAGTAGAGTAAATAGAATTATTTTAAAAGATAATACAACAAAATCATTAAGGACGCATTCCTGGAATTCAAGGGTGTTTTGCTATTAGAAATTGTTTTTGGTATTAGAGAATTATCATACCATAGTACTAGGTCAAAAGGAGAAAAATCCTATCCCATCTTAGTGAATACATAAAATTGGTTGACAAATGACAGCTGGATAGATACCCAAATTTGTTATCCATCGCCATTAAAAAAATATATATATACCTTGTTAAGCTTCTTGATAGTAATTGTTTACTACCAAATATTATTAGCCAAAAGCTAACATCACGTTTAGTTATCAAACACTAGAAATTCTTTCTCCAATGTGGTAGGCACTAGCCACATGTACTATTGAGCACTTGAAATATGGCTAATCTGAATTAAAATGTGTTGAAAGTATAAAATACAGGATTTCAAAGACTTCATACAAAAAAAAAGAATAAAATATCTCAGTAGTTTTATGTTGATTGCAAGTTGAAATGATCATTTTTAATATAGTATTAAATAAACTATATTAAAATTAGTATCACTGTTCTTTTGCCTTTATTTTTAACTTTATTAAGGAATAATTGAAAAATATAATTGTATATATTTAAAGTGTACAACATGATGATTTCTTTTTTTTTCCTAAATATTTTATTTATTTATTAGAGAGAGAGAGATCACAAGTAGGCAGACAGGCAGGCAGAGGGAGAGGGAGAAGCAGGCTCCCCGCTCAGCAGGGAGCCCGATGCGGGGCTTGATCACAGGACGCTGGGATCATGACCTGAGCCGAAGGCAGACACTTAACTGGCTGAGCCACCCAGGCGCCCTGATGATTTCATATACATATACATTGTAGAATGATTTCCAAGATCGAGATAAGTGACACATACGTCACCTCGTATTGCTCTTTTTTTTTTTTTTTTAATGTTTGTGTTGAAAATGCTTAAGATTTACTCTCAGTAACTTTCAGGTGTACAATACAGTATTATTAACTGCAGTCTTTTGACTTTTTAAAAAAATGTATTTACTTTAAAAATTACGTATGTGCCACATTTGTGGCTCACATTTAAATTAAAGCCAGGAACAAGACAACAGTGTTACTTAACATTATTCTAGAAACACTAGCCAATGCTGGAAATATGAGAAGGAAAAGGCATAATTTTTGGAAAGGAGGCTATAAAATCATCATCATTTGCAGATGATATGATTATGTACTAGAATTCTTAGAATAGACAAACTATTAGGAACAAAGGTTGGCAGGTCACAAAGTTAATAGACAAAAATCAATAGCTTTAGGAACTCTAGGAACATGAAAGATCATTAAATGATAAATCGTACCATGCCCTTGCCTAAGAAGACACAATAAAGTCAAGGTGTCAGCTTTCCTTAATCTGTGTATTCAATGAAGTCCCAATTAAAATACAGAATTTTTTTTTATTGTTTTTTAATTGGAAAGTTTACCTGAAAAAACATGAAAATACTCAGGAAAATTCTGGAAAAGAAGAGTAATGGAGGGAGCGCTAATTCCACCAGATAATAAGGCATATTCTGAAGCTATGGGAATGATATTTGTGCATCAACAATGAAGACAGATTCTCATTTGCAGCCAAACAATCCAGTGCATTCCAATGCATAAACTCTAAAAAAATTAGAACAAAACTCATTTGACTTAGAGGTCTATTGATATGAGAGAAATAATGGATAAATAAATGGAACAGAATAGAGTCCAGAAACAGGCCAAAAGAACAGAAATATTGGCAAATCCCTTGGCAAAGGGTTACATTTCTGTAGTTAAAAAAAGAACAGCAATAAAAAACAACAGTGCCATACTGTTTTTGTTTCTGTTTCTTCTTTTTCTGGTTTCAGAATGATGAAATTTATTGCTAACAGTGCTGTCTAGGACATAAGTGAATGGTTACTTTAAAAAAATTATTGGGGCACCTGGGTGGCTCAGTCAAACATCTGCCTTCGGCTCAGGTCGTGATCTCAGGGTCCTGGGATCGAGCCCCGCATCGGGCTCCCTGCTCAGCAGGGGGCCTGCTTCTCCCTTTCCTCCTCCCCCTGCTTGTCCTCTCTCTCTCTGTGTGTGTGTATGTCAAATAAATAAAATCTTTTGAAAAAATTATTTGAGAGAGAGAAAGAGAGAGTATGTGTGAGGGGAAGGGCAGAGGGAAAGAATCTCAAGCAGACTCCCTTCTGAGCACGGAGCCTGACGCGGGGCTCGATCCTACAACCCATGAGAT